ATGTGCTTGGAAAGGCTGATGGGACTGAATGGTATCCTGGATTCTCACTGCCAGCTTAGAGTGCAGCTGAGTGCAGTAGAGTTTCTTACTTGTGGTCTGGTAGAAGCAGGTAGGAAGACAGTCATAGAATCATAGAACATCCTGAGTTGGAAGGGATCATTGAAGACCAACTCTTAGCCCTGCACAGGACACCCCAACAATCCACCATGTGCCTGAGAGCATTGGACAAACATCCTTGAGTTCTGTCAGGCTTGGGGCTGTGATCACTGCCCTGGGGAGCTGTTCCAGTGCCCAAACACCCTCTGGGGGATGAACCTTTACGTCCCCTGATACATCTTCACACCATTCCCTTGGGTCCTGTCACTGATTGCCAGAGATCAGAGATCAGTTGTTGCCCCTTGTGAGGAAGCTCTAGACTGCTATGAGGTCTCCCCTCAGCTCCTCTTCTCCAGGCTAAACAAGCCAAGTGCCCTCAGCCACTCTTCATGTAAAAAAAAGCCAAGCCCCCCCAGCCACTCTTCATGTGGCTTCCCCGCAAGGTCCTTCACCATCTTTGTAGCCTCCTTGGGACACCGCCTAATATCTAATAGTCATAGAAGTGTCTATGAAGAAGAGTATTAAAACATGATTACAATGAAAGAGTTGAGGCCAAAAGAGGAATGTCAAGAACGACAACAGCATCTTTGGCAGTAAAGTTTATAGGAGATGTGATTATTAAACCTGAGCCTGATGGGGAGTCCTAAGGTTCCATTGCAATGGAGAAAGCTCTGTGCTCACCACAGATCACGCCATGGGCACTGCCAGCAGAGAAAGCAAGAGTGTTGCAAGAAAGGGCTGCAGGAGTTGGGTGAGAACTCTTGGATGTATGACATGTTCCTGCTTTGGGACTAAACACCCACCTGAAGTATGTGCTGATGGCAGGAGGCCCTGGATGAGGGCAGGGCATGGTAACACTCTGATAAGGAGCTGTGGCACAACAGCCTTGCTGGAAAGGACCTGGGAGGGGTAGCAGGCACCAAACTGAGCATGAGCCAAAAATGTACTTTCCCTCCAAAGATGGAGAAATTCACACTGGGTCAAAGGTGCAGACAAGGGGCTGCATGGTCACAGTTGGTCATCACCATCACTGCTTGGTGCAAGGGAAGCCATATCTAGGTGCTAGGTCCAGTTCTGGAGTGCCTGGTGAGAGGGAGGTGGAGACAACCCCTAGCACTTGACGAGCTGGCAATGGCCCTACACAGGAGGGGGATGGAGATGAGTGTTTTGGGTCTGGCCATGGGGAGGCTGAGAGTGGGCTGAGAGCAGCCTGTGACTCCTCAAGGGTCAGAAGTTGATAGAATGAAATAACTCTCTGTAGCAGCAGATGATACAATGAGGGAAAATGTGATTGCACCTTTGGATTGTGGTGCTAGACATGTGGAAGTGGAAATGCTTCTTTCTCTGTGGAATGGGAGCAGCTCTGGAATGGACACTACAGAGGCAGGGGAGCTTCATCCTGGGTGATTTCCAAAGCTTGACTATCCAATCTCATCCAGTACTGGCAACAGTCTTGCTTCTAGTGAGTGAAGATCTTTAGACATCCTTTTCCACCATTTTTTTGATGTCATGACCATGTCATGAAGTTCAAGGGACTCTCCTTGACGGTATTCAGCCTCTACAGCCACTTCAGCAGATGACCTTTGAGAGACCAGAGCATCTTAAGATCTTTGAGAGGTCTTTGAGGGGCCAGACCTGTGATAAGTGCCATGGGACTCTTTTGAGTGCAACCTCAGCCTTGCACCTTTCAGGGAAGACATTGCCTCCAGATGAGTTTGACCAGTGTTGCTCTGCCCTTTCCCTGGAGTGTAGACTTCTATTAGCGGCTTCCTCAGAAAATGAAAGCCAAAGTATGACTTGAGTACCCCAAAACCAAGTCACTCTTAACATCCAAACCTCTCAATTATGAGCCAATGTTCTCCTGTGACTCTGTTTAAAGAATAGGACCAGCTGCCAAGCCTAGGTGTGTGCCTTGGACACTTCTCAGGTCCATTCCAGGCTGACAGCTTGAAGATATCTTTCCCTCTTGACCTTTCACCGTGATTTCCAAAGCAAAACAATCTAGGAAGGCAGGGCAGAAGAAAACCACAGCCCTGCCATGGCTGATGGAGAAGGATAACTCTCCCTGATGGCAATGCACATGTAGGATAAGGTGCTTGGGTGCTCTTCATACCTTTCCCATAAGGGTGTGAAGAACAAGGATGTTGTGGTGGGTTGACCTCAGCCAACACCTCAGCACCCACGCAGCTGCCCTCTTGCCCCACCCCCACCCCAAAGTGAGACATGTGGTGGGAATTGGAAGAGCAAAAGTGGGAAAACTGGGTCAAGAAGGCAACATGGTAGGGAGTGTTGCTATGGCCACTTGGCTGTGCCTCATCCCTGTGCTATGAGGGAAGTTAACTCCATCCCAGCCTGACCCAGCACAGATTTTTTTAGACCTTGCCTGGGGTTTAATTTCCATTTAACACCTCTCTCTCATGTTTAACACCTCTGCCTATATCACAAAGGGTTGTCAAGCTCCTAGGAAACATCCTCATTTCTAAGCCATTTGAGGCTTCAATCTTCCCTTGTAATAACTTAATTATGTCTCTTGTAACCAACAAATCAAATGATGATTGAAATGTGAAGCTGGAAACTTTCTTCAGCAAAGTCAACGAAACGATTTTATCAGTGGAAATCACCTCCAAACATCTCTAGTTATCTGAGGCTGCCTAAATAGTATTTAAGTGGCCTCCACAAACAAAGTCTGGGCAACCCTATTTTCTAAACTATGGTGTTGCGTAATGACTTAGATGTTCAATATCTCAGTGTGTTTACACTTAGCCTTCTCTGCTCTTGTTACCCCACCCTCCAGACACTTCAAATAGGGCTTCTTCAGGGAGATGAAGAGCCTTACATGGTGCACCAGCAAGAGGTGACCATCAATGCTCTGCTGCCACTGTGTGCCTCCTCTACATCTCCTCTGCACTTCTCTACACTGCTGACATCTCCCTGTCTCCTTCTCCAGGAGCTGTGCCACCCCTCAGCTGGACTGCTTGGCTTCACTTCTCTCAAGGTGAGTGTGGGAAAAGCATTGGGAGAGTTGAGGCTAAGTGTGGATGTGGATGGTGCTTGTAACTCCAACCCTCATGTTTGTCTGACAACAAGGGACCAGCATCTGATTTGCTGGGTAACTTCTAGAGGTTAGTCCAGCCCAGTAGTTCATCACCTTCTGGTCACTGACCACAGCTGCTGTTGGAGGTGTAACTCCAACCCAGTAGAGTTTGTCTGAAAACAAGGGATCAACATCTGATTTTCTGGGTCAGTTCTAGAGGTTGGTCCAGCCCAGCTTTCCTTGCCCAGTGGCCCATCACCTTGTGGTCACTGTTGGAGGGAACAACCCTGTCCAGACCTTTCAGTATCTGTTTCTGGAGCTCTTGCCCATAACTGTGTGTCAAACCTGCTGCTGTTCCCATTTGCCTTCACCACCTCCTGTGGCAAGCAAACTCTCCAGCACCATGAGTACTTTTAAACTGGTTAAACTCACTATCATTAAGTAACATCCAGATCTGCTGGAAGATACTTCACTCGCCATTTTGCATGTAGATTTGCACTTATAAATGTCTTTCTCTGAATTAAATGTCATCAAATCTACGCTTTTCTACCATGGTCAAGAAGGGCAAGTGGTTAGAAATTTTGTTTTCATGATCTTGGTTTTATTTAGGGCAGAGTTGGCTCTTATTTGACTGATCAAAGCCAACCTGGTATCAACCTCTCCCTCCTGGGTAGTCTTGAACAGTGGTGGTAATGGTGATGCAAATGGCAGAGAGATGTTACTTCTTCTCAGCCATACCCTTTCTTGTAAGAGATGGTGGAGGTGTCATCACTGATAAGCCAGGTAACACCCTACATCCTTTGTGTGTTGGAAAAAGAAAGGTTGGCTTGGGATCTATGGCTGTGCTCATCCCCCAGGGGCTCTTGCTGTGCAGAGTCCACCCTGGTGTCTCTGTGGCTCCTTTGAGCAAGAGCAAGATGCTGTTGTATCTTCCTTTGCCTCCTTGTGTCTGGATAAGCAAGTCCAGTTCCCCTTACTGCCATTCCTGAAGGTCTGTTCCACCACCTTGAAAATATCTCACCTGAGACATGCTCCCTGAGACCCTAGATCAGGATCAGCCTTTCATACAATCATAGATTCATCAGGGTTGGATGAGACCTTTAAGATCATCAAGTCCAACCATTAACCTGTCACTGCTATCAGCCCTAAACCCTAAACCACATCTTCCAGTGCCACATCCAGACATCTCATAAACACCTCCAGGGATGGTGACACCACCAGCTCCCTGGGCAATATTCCAGTGCCTGAGCACTCTAACAGGAAAAAAAGTGGGCACTGCAGGTGTTGGTGATGGTCATCTTCAATGGAAGCTCCAAGTTGACCTCAAGGCAGATGTTGTTTAAAAAGCACTTCTTGGAGAAAGATTGGAGCCCCTGTGTCCCCTTCCCATTGGAATTGGGGAGTTACCCATTCATAGAATCATCAAGGTTGGAAGAGACCTCTAAAATCATCAAGTCCAGCCATTAACCTCTCACTGCTGGAACCCCCTAAACCATATCTTCCAGTACCACCTCCAGACACCACTTCAACACCTCCAGGGATGGTTATTCCACCACCTCCCTGGGCAATATTTCAGTGCCTCAACACGCTCACAGGGAAAACATTTCTCCACATCTCCTCTGACTCTGCGCTGTCTCAGCTCAGGGCCATTCCCTCTAGTCCTCTTCCTGCAGCCATGACAGGCTGGAACATCCCCCACCTCTCTCCAGCCCTTTCAGGCAGCTAAAGTCATCCTTTCAGTGGTCATCTAGGCCACTAGACTAAATCTGAGTCCTACCTGCTGTGTTTGTTTTCCAGCCCACAACTCTCCTTTCCCAGCTGGACATTCCCCATGGCACTGACCCTGTGTGTTGTTCTAGGCAAAGCAAGGATGTGGCTGGTCCTGGCTGTGGTGTCCATGGCTCATGGGATGGTGTCTGGGCAATGCCTCTTGGATTTCCCATTCCCTAAGAATCCAGAAGCAAAGATGAACATTGTGAGTATGAAGAAGTAGAGGCAATAAGTGTTTTGGAAAAAAAACAGGATGAAGTCCTGATGTTTAAACACCATATGTAGGGATTACATTGAAGGAAAACAGCATGGAGCCTTGGACACATTGTAATTTACTTCCTTCTTCTTGCAGAGTGAAATGGTCTCCTTCTGGGGATACCCCACTGAGGACTATTATGTGGTGACAGAAGATGGTTATATCCTTCAGCTCAACAGAATTCCCCATGGCAAAGAGAATGTTAAATGCCAAGGTAAAGTTGCTAATATACAGCACACCAAAACCCTGTGCTGTTGACTGAGAAGCTTGTGCAAAAGGGTTTTCAAGGTTCCCCATGGCTTGGCAGATGTAGCATTAGGATCATAGAATAATCAAGGGTGGAGGAGGCCTCTAAGATCAGCAAGTCCAACCATTAACCTGTCACTGCTGGGACCCCTAAACCCTAAACCATATCCTCCAGACACCTCTTAAACACCTCCAGGGATGGTGTCTTCACCATCTCATAGAATCATTAAGGTTGGAGGAGACCTCTAAGATCATCAACTCCAACCATTAACCTGCCACTTCACTGCCTCTTCCAATTTCTCCCCATTGCCCCTTGTCCTGTCACTGCAGTTCCTAACACAGAGTCTCTCTGCAGCTTCCCTGGAGCCCCTTCAGATCCTGGCAGGTTGCTCTGAGGTCTCCACACAACCTTCTCCAGGCTGAACATCCACATCTCTCTCAGCCTGTCCTCATAGGGAAGATTCTCCAATCCTCTTATCAGCTTCATGGTCTCCTCTGGACTTGCTCCAACAGTTGCATGTCCATCTTACACTGAGGACATCAGAACTAGTGCTCCCAGAGGCACTGGGGACAAAGATAAAGCCCTCTTAGATATGGTGCATCTCCTACTTAGCAAACCTGCTTTTTAATGCAATTTAGGAGAGCACGCACTTTGCTTGCCATTATTAGTGAAGATAATTCACTTCCTAACCTGTCTAAAAAGATGACAAACAGCACTAAAAAGTCATCATGACTATTGTCTTTCAGGTTCAAGACCTGTCGTGCTCCTGCAACATGGTATATTGGCAGAAGGAAGTATGTGGGTGACCAACCTGCCCAACAACAGCCTGGGCTTCCTCCTGGCAGATGCTGGCTATGATGTTTGGCTTGGCAACAGCAGAGGGACCACTTGGTCTAGGAGACATCTGATCATGTCTCCCAAACAGGACAAGTTCTGGGCTTTCAGGTAACCTCAAACAGGAGTTTGAGAATCTCACAGACAACTGAGTTACTTCAGCTTCAAAAGGTGATGTTGCCCTAGCTTGGGGAGGAGTGAACCAAGCTGAACTGAAGCACAGTTAGGTACAAATCTCATGAGCTTACCCAAGGACACACTCAACAGGATGAATCTTTTCGGGGTGGTCCTGTCCTCCCTGCTGCTTTGGGGTTTAGTGGTGGTGGTTGTGCAGATGGGGATGTTAGTACACCTCTCTAAGATGACTTTTCTCCCTCCTGCAGCTTTGATGAAATGGCTAGATATGACCTGCCAGCAATGATAAAGTTTATTGGAGAGAAAACAGGCCAGAAACAGATCTATTATATTGGGCATTCACAAGGCACCACCATAGGTGAGTGGGTTTGACTCCTCTTAAAGACACTATGGGATGTCTACAGCATCTCTGGCTCTACATCATCTCTGGCCTCTACGTCATCACTCTATTTACTCATCAAGTAGTAAAGTTACTGATTTAAATCAAACTGTGGATATGAGACTCTTGAAGGAGTAAACCTTTTCTTTTCTATTGTTTCACCCCTACACCAGGTTTTGTAGCCTTTTCCACTATGCCTCAGCTGGCACAGAAGATCAAGATGTTCTTTGCTCTAGCTCCTGTGACCACAGTGGTATTTGCTAGGAGTCCATTCAGAAAGCTTGCCTTCTTTTCTGACTATGGGCTCAAGGTATGTTGAGACAAACTCTGTTCTACACAGCCAAAATGAGCATAATTTTCACTAGAGATTGTGAAATGGCCTGCGCTGTATATTTCATGTCAGTGGGCTGAGGACAACTGCAGGAGTGTCAGTAAGGCTCGGTGCTGGTCCTGCCCTTGGAACACAACAACCCCATGTAGCTCCAGCCTGGGGAGGAGTGAGGAGAGAGATGTT